GCTCAGTGCCAACCACAATATCCTGCAGATAGTTGATGTTTGCAATGACATGGAGAAGGAGGACAAGTGAGTAGATGATTTCTACCTCTTCATTAGCAGCAGTCAGCTGATGTGATGGAGAAGAATTTTGTCTCAGTCCTTGGCCATACGTGTTCCTTTTTTAAATATGCAAGTAGTTGGAAGAAAGCGTTTTTAATCTTAAATCAGTCTATGACTATACTGTATCAGTAGAGGCATAATGTCTGTTGCACTAACATCGTACATTTTTGATAATATTTAGTGTTATCCTCCTTTTTGTCTTCTCTGTCAGACTGATCCGTTTGCTGGAGGAGATAATGAGCGAAAAGGAGAACAAGACTATTATTTTTGTGGAGACCAAAAGGCGTTGTGATGAGCTCACCAGGAGGATGAGAAGAGATGGGTAAGGCTCTTCTCTTCCATTCCCTCCAAGAATGTCCTTGGTTTATTTTGGCTTGTCTTTTCATCTGGAAAGATAACATTTAGCTATTCAAATGGTATTTTTTCTTTCTCAGTCCCTGTACTTCTCGTTGCATTAGTAATTAATCTGTCTGTTACAGGTGGCCAGCAATGGGAATTCATGGAGACAAGAGTCAGCAGGAGAGGGACTGGGTCCTTAATGGTGAGATTTGATAAATAACATTGCAAGTTAATTTTAAAAAAAACATTTAACCCTATCACATGCTGCTCTGTAATTTATTAAAATACTATCCCTCTCTCTTCAGAGTTCAGATACGGCAAAGCTCCAATCCTCATTGCTACAGATGTGGCTTCCCGTGGCTTGGGTCAGTATGTCATTAAGTAGCAACACATTTTTTATCAGTGTTACACTTACTTTAAAGAAAGTGGTTTTGCTTTCTTTAACTTTTCTATGCATTTTCTGAGTTTTTCTCACCTTAAGGTGGAGTCTTTGTGGCAGGCGCTAGGCATGACAGTCCCAGGCCTCGAGAGGGAGAAGGATGACATATTGGAAGTGCTCAACTGGCTTGCCACCCAGTGGGCCTAGAGAGGTGAAAGCTGTTGTGTGCCAGTGATCTTCAAAAGGCTCTGTGGCTAAGCCTTGGTCTCTGATATGTTGTTGAAAGACACACACATCTGTTCTCTGTCCATGGATTTCACCTGACAAATGCCATCCAGCTGTTTCCAACTCAAACGTTTAAAAAAAAAAAAAAGAAAAAGAAAAGAAAAAAAAGATATGCTTGATGTTGTGACTTCTGCCTTGCATGCTGTTGTGTTAGAGAGCGCTGTATTGCAAGTCACTTGTTTGAGATTTGGAACAATTGTTACCTTTCGGAGCTTGTATCACACAGCATGGGTGCTTGTGAGCCTGTCTAAGCTTTCAGTTGTTTTCTTTTCCCGTCAAAGTGCTGGATTTCTTGAAATGGAGAGAGCAGTTTGAAATCTTTTATTTGTCTCTGAAAATTGATGAGACCTGGCACATGTGTTTAGGGGGTAGTGGGAACATCTAGTGAGAGGAAAAAGAGAGTGAGACAGCTCAAACCAAAGTTCCTCCCTCGCCTGCGTTTCTATAGTCATGTCGAGACCTGCCAACGAGAGACATTTTCTCAAGTGAACACTGGCTTCTTGGAAGATCTTGCCTTGATGAGACTGATGAAGGGGCGGGGGGAATTGTTCCGTGCTCGGTGAGGGGTCCCACAGGGTTCAATGCTTGGGCCTTTTTCATTTTTTTGGAAGGGGGCCCCGTTCAAATTAGTACTTGGTCTATTTTGTCTTGGCAAGACGTGCAGTGCGGCCTTTAATATCAAGCTTCTTTTGAGAGTGTACTGGGAAAAACGGACCTGCAAAAATGTACCCCTGAATGGTCCTATATTGGCACATGAGGAGGCCCCAGTGCATATCGTGGCCCAACTGCGTAGAAGCTCCTGGATGTCACTTGACAATTTGTGGGGGATTTCGCTGCATTGGGAAAGGACTAGTGAATGCATACTCCTTTATGGTAAGACTTAAATCCATTTTTTTCTCCCTTGGTTAACAAAAGGGAGAGTGAATGTCTTTTGGATCTTTTTGATTATGGTAAGCAATCGGAGTGTGCATCGTTTCTCTCTTCCCACAGTAGTATTCCCATGGAGTAGATGTATACGCGATCTGATGTTGTTTTAACACTTTCCTCCACAGCCTAATAAACCATTTTCTTCCCCCAGCCTCAACAGTTGCTAACTTTTCCCTTTGATCTGGCTGTTGTGGTGTGCAAAATCCTGTGTGGCCTCCATGTTTTGTTTTGCCACACTGCAACACTTTCACAGATGTGGAGGATGTGAAATTTGTCATCAATTATGACTACCCTAACTCCTCCGAGGATTATATCCATCGCATTGGACGCACAGCCCGAAGTCAAAAAACGGGCACAGCCTACACCTTCTTCACCCCCAACAACATGAAACAGGCCAGTGACCTGATCTCTGTGCTCCGCGAGGCCAACCAGGCCATTAACCCCAAGCTGATCCAGATGGCCGAGGACAGAGGAGGTAAACTTCTTCACATTAATAATGACTGTAAAGGAAGATGCAGTATATGTTTTAGTACAGAGTGTCTGTAGGGTCCTTTAAAATGTCTTTAAATGTCCTAAATTCAGTCTTATTAATATTAGGCATTAAATATTCTTGAATTTTATTGTTGAAATAATCTAAAAAGCCCCTTTGAAGACATGGACTATGTTACATAAATGCTCTCCAAAGCACAAAGATTCGTCAGTAAACTGAGCAGAGTTGCTGAGATTCTTGTCATGTCAGCTCAGCCTGGACTAAATGAATACATATTGTTTCCAGTTATGCTGACATATTCCATGACTGAAAGGGGCTTTATTTATTTTGACAGTGTCTCTTTGTGTCATTGCTATATTGTAGGTTCAGTGTATTAATAATCTGAACCCACTCTACTCTCTCCCCTTTTGTCCCTCTCCTGTCTTCATCTAATTCAGGTCGTGGAAGGGGGGGAAGAGGTGGCTACAAGGATGACCGTCGGGATAGGTATTCCGGGGGTGGGAGGAGCAACTTTGGCGGTAGTAGCTACAGGGACAGGGACAGTGATAGGGGGTTTGGCAGTGGGCCGAAGAGTGCCTTTGGTGGCAATAAGGTCCAAAATGGTGGCAGCTATGGGGGCAACAGTGGTAACTCAAGTGGTAGCTATGGCAACAACAATTATAGCAACAGCAATGGACAGGGTAATTTTGGTGCTCCAGCAAATCAGGTGGGTGCCTTTGGTAACCAAAGCTTCCAGGGCCCCCCTCAGTTTGGGGCCATGCAAAGAGCCGCTCAGAATGGCATGAACCACCCACCATTCCCATTCAACTCTCAACCACCACCACAGGCCCAACAGCCACCACCCCCACCACCAATGGTGCCCTACCCCATGCCACCACCCTTCCCACAGTAGATATGATATACGCACAATATATGGAACCAACATGATTTGGGTTTAGTCTTGAAATCTTACAGTATGATTATTATAATTATTGTTATTATTATTATCCTTTGTACTGTTTAACTTTGTTTTGCTTACAGCAGGGTTGGAAATATTCAGTAAACCCAGAGCATTAAATGGAGTCATAGACACGTCTCCAATAGTGCAATTACGATTGCCGCAATTTTTCCTTGACTGTTTTTTTGTTACATTCCTCAGTAATTTATTTTTACTAGGTAATGCAATGTTTTCAGTTCGTGGTATGTTTAAAGTGATGTTATGAAGATCATATAAAAGGGTGTGTGTGACCCTTTTAAATAAAAACAAGAAAACAGGACCTGTGTGATGTGTTGACTGTGTGGGAAAGTTGGGTTGGGAGAACTACTACAACTGCGATTGTTTTAATGTGGATCTTGGTACTTCTAAACCACACTTAGACACACACACCTGTGAACCTGGTAGTATCAGGAATGCATGACTCAAGCCATACTGTGAACACATTTCTGACATTACCTTAGATGTTTCAAAGTGATTAGACTGAAGGCAGATTAAAAGAAGTTACGCTTTGCATTATAATACCAGTATTGAGCTGACTTGTGAAAAGCAATGCTGCAAGGATTTAAAACGAGGTGTATATTATTGGGCATTATGGCTGTTTGCAACCTCTGGATGTTCCTGTCCTACATTTTTGGAGTCAGTACCCTATTCAGCCCAACCTAACTGTCTAGTGCACGTTAAGTTCAGGGTCGCTGTTACCACTGAGAATACTGATCATAGATCATATGGACGACACTGAGAGCACCCAGGGGAATGTTCTGAGTACATGGGTATATTTTCTGCCTCAGGACTAAAAACAACAGCTGATAATGACATCACAAGTTTGAGGCTCACTTCTCTGGTTTCTGGCCTTGAGACGGTAGCTCATGTTCACAAACATTGATTAAACTTTCCTAAGCCATGGAATTAACATATTGGACTGCTTAATTTGGGATGTGTTCCCCTTTAATGAATGAAATATATATATATATATTTTAACAAAATCTAAGTGAACATGAGACAGTTATATCAAACATAAAGTGTGTTAGAATATCCAGTTACTACAGAAAGACACCACCACCTGAATTTTTTTTTAAATCATATTTCAAATATAACACTACATTGTACAGAGAGAGATTTCATAATATATATATAAAAAATGTCATTCTAACAAAACAATATCAAAAGAAAACATAGAACAAAAACTAATACAGATAAAAAATAAAATCGTACGAGGGAGGTGTCAATTCAGACATAATATAAGTCATTTGTTTTTATTACATATAATTTTCCCGATTATTTAAGAGGTCTCAGCTATTAATATAAAATTTGTAACCCGGATGCTATTTTTGTTTCCTAGAGAAGGCATGACCCGCCCTCCTCTCCCTCTGATTGGCTAGTGTCCGTTGTCTTCGTTGGTCTGATTGGTTAGATTTAAATATGAGGTGTAAGATTGGTTAGGATAAGAGTATCGGGATCAGCCAATAGGAGGCCGAGTAGGGCGGGTCATGCCCGTTATCATTTCCGGATCATACATCACATGTATTACAGTGAAATTCAAACTTTTCCTAGCGGTTATCATTGAACAATAACTATGCAACAACAATGTTAAGAAAGTCATGCGAATGCATTTGTTTTAATTGCACAGCATTTCCGGTACGTAGCATATATGCCGTTAGGTAGCTGAGGTATGCTATTGACGCTCAAGAGACGGAGGATAAAGTCATCTCTTACTGGACCTTGATTTTAGTGTTCAACACAAACAGTTTACTCTCCTTTCTACTTTAAGAAAGGCTGTTTGGTAACTTGCTACATTAAAACCTTGTTAACATTTTAACGATCATAGTTTATCTTTTCCTTAACACAGCATTTTATGTTGGACCATAGTTAAGCTGGCGTTCTTGTTTTACTCATGAAGAATCATCACTTGAAAAGACAACCTCTGGATTTACTTTGGTCAAGTTTATCATCATGTTGTCTTACGGTGTCAGAAACGTCCTATCAAGGCGCCTACAGGTATTGAAAACCTCCCAGTGCAGAATAACACTGACCCTGCAGCACAGCAGGAGACACTACAGCACATCATCCACTGATCATTTGGATCAGGTCAGAACTTTGCTGCAGCTCTGCGTGGACAGACACTATGTTTCACCTGGTCAAACTAACACGGAGCTGTTCCAGCGTGGGCTGAGCTGCAGTTATGGACCTCTGGGCATGGAGCTGAGGAGAAGTCTGCTGGAGCAGTGGTGGCACTCTGTGACCAGGTCCACAGCTCAGGTGTTTGGGATCAACACTCTGAGCAGCAGCATCAGCAGGGACACAGCCACAGATGGACGGGGACAACTGAGGGTTGTTGAGTCTGAGCATTTAAAACACATACTTGAACAGCAAGAACTGAGCAGGGAGCAGCTCATCCAGAAGGTACAGACGCTCATTCAGGGGTCTCCATCTCTGAGGACAAACTTTCTACAAGGTAGAGTGCTGTATAGAGACTCACTGTTTGATTGTTATGATACTGGTGCGATATGACAAGTAGCAGCTGCACTAGTATACTGTATGATGATTATGATGGCATGAAGTTTGGTCCTATTGCAAGGAGATGTCAAGTAAGCTGGCAATATAAAAAAACGATATCGTGATATCGGACTAAATATCATCTTAGATTTTGGATATCGTAATACTGCAAGTGTCCTTTTCTGGTTTTAAAGGCTGTATTTCAGTAAGGTGATGTAATTTTCTGAACTTACCAGTTTGTTCTAGTTTTTTTTATTATTTGCTTTTACCCACTTACTCATTGAATCTGCTTTACTGATGATTATTTATCAAATATCTCACTATGTAAATATTTACAAAAGCATCAAAAATCAATCCTACACTATTGCCGTAATATCAGTGATTTATTTGGTAAAAAATATTTGATTTTTTTTTTTTCTCCATATTGTTCAGCCCTGACTGCAAGATGGAGCATGCTGGTTCAGCAAACCTTCATGGTGCTACAGTAAAATGAGAAATAATTGGAAGTCTTAGGTGACTTTCTTGGCCTTGGTTGAGTCCATCCCAGTTCAAGCTCCATCCATCATATCAGTCTATAAACTGAATTTGAACCAAATATCGCATCAGTCCAATTTTGTTAAGGGACAAAGGGATAGCGCAACTCACTTGTGAACATAACTGATGACACCTACCCTCAACTAGTGAAAAAAAATTGTTCTCAGGTGCCTTGGAGCAGGCCATCCCGGCGTTGGCACTGGTAAACAGGAAGCTGCCCTTCGGCCTGGCTGAGACTGGTCTGTGTTTCCAGCCCTCAGATGGCTCTGGTTGGTGAGGCTTCACCTACTGTCTGTCTTTATCTGTCTGTCTGTCTGTGAGTGTATGGACACATACTTGTAAAACGTTTATTCTTGTACTTCAGATTCTCCAGATGAGATTTTGAAATGAGAGCAAATGAATTAAGCTCCTTCATACTCAATATGGCTTGATAAGATTCTATTCATATCACTCGCATCTTATATGAAGACGATTATGTTGACTTTACCAGCAAAAGTTAAATATCTTTTTTAATCATTAAACCCTGTCCACACATTGTTCTGACTGTGGGACACTAGCAATATGTACAACTCACTGTGGAACCTGCCCCTGCTTAAAAAAAAGCATTACTGTGTTTCATAACAAATACAATGAACAGGTAAGTATGTGCGGTGCTACTGCAGTTATAATGTAATGGTTCTATTCTGTCAGCCCCGCTGAGGTCACCCAGACGTCCCTGGTGTGGTTCTGCTCTACTCGTACCTCTTCCCAGTGGCTGGATCACTGGACGCGACAGAGACTGAAGTGGTGGAGGAAAGTGAGTGTTTTTTAATATGAAGGAGTGTTTCAGAGCACTGCATTAAAGGTCCAGTGTGTAGGATTTAGTGGCATCAAGCATTGAAGCTGCATAACTGAATCTTCTCCGGTGTAGGAGAACTATGGTGGCTGATGGGAAAAAGTGAATGGTCCTAGCGAGAGCCAGTGTTTGGTTTGTCTGTTCTGGGCTACTGTAGAGAAAAATATGGGGAATTCCAGCTCCATATGTAGATATAAATGACTCATTTTAAGGTGCGAAAAACACAAGAATTGATATTCTCAAATGATTATACACTAATGAAAACATAGTTATTCAGATATGCATATTAGCTGATATTGTGTAGTGCTAGCTGGAGCACAAAGAGGTTTATGGTCCTATTTTCGTGGGCTTCTTACACTGAATCCAGTCTAGTCTGAAAAGGTCTAAGTAACTTATGACTTCCCATCACTGATACATAGTTTTCTAAGTCTAAGATTCAGTCACTGATCTTCCTGCAAGCCCAGCCCCCCCCCCCCCAGACACTGCTATTACCCACAGAAAGCTGCTGATGTTTTGATGTGTATGTAAGACTTTAGTTCCAAAACTCAACAATGAGATGAGAGGGGGTTTGGGGAGGAGCCAAAGATTGTATCTCAGGTACATGAAATCACGTCTGCCCATGTCTTTCCAGTTTGCCCTGTCTCCATTGGACTTTAGCAGCAGAGATGTCCCAGAGGAGGAACTTGAGGAGGCCGTGTCTCGTGGTGTGAGGATCATCTACAGTTTCCCATGGGGAGAGGAGCCCCTGGAGACGCTATGGAGCAGAGGAAACACGGAGCTGCTGCAGACACACAAAGGAGTCCGTACCAAACTACAGGTCAGTCTGCACTGTACGTCTGAATTTAGCGTCTTACCTGTCAAGCTGCTGTTGCTGAAAAGTCACATACAGGATGTAGAAGCTTTGCAGTTGCAATGTTAACCTTGTCATCCTAGAATAATAAACAAAATAAGATGTCAACAGTAGTTAAAACCATAATACATTGTGGTTAAAAGCACATATAACACAGTTTAGAATTTCATGTAACTGCTTCAGTTTCAGCGTCCTGGTATTAGCATGCTGGCTCACTTTGACACCATCATGACTTAAAGGAATACTTCCCCCCCCCCCCCCCCCCAATATGACCATTTATATATTATTTACTTGCCCTGTGTTACGTTGAATTCTTCAAGAAAAGTCTTGAATTGAAGTCATCCAGGTCAGCGTTTGACAAAAGCGAAACTATATCATAACATCCATTTACAAATTCTCACACAACTGCAGTATAATCAGTATAACCTCATTTATCAAGTCGTACGCTCTGCTACACAGTGACAAATACACTTGTCAAAACAACTGGCGACAGATTTTCTGCTATGATCTCAGAATTTACAATATAGTAACCTCTTCAAGTGTCACCATGAGTTTTGTTAACATCATGCAAATCCAGAAGTTCTAACTGTCTGAGCTCTCTGGTTTGCCCTTTAGTGGAATCCTTCAGTAGCTTTAGTACATAGGCTAGTGCGTGAACAGTTCTGTTCATGATGAAGTTGGTTGTCTACATGTATGTGTGGTTAAAAGCAAATATGTCTTCGCCCTTACTGGGACACTTGAATAGGACAAAGCCGTCGTCAATGTTAATACACAGGAGCAGCTTTTCTCTGCTATTGTTGCCTTTCTTCCATGTACTCAATCACACACAGTGTTAATTGTCTTTCTAAACTTGCTTCAGTGTCGAGATGGTCGTAAGTCAGTTCCTCACGTCATCTCAATAACCGGGAACATGGACCGTGGTGTGTTGGCCTTTCTGGCCAACTCGCTCCAGCAGCTCAGGAAAGAAGACAGCAAGCAGAAAGTGCATCAGAGAAAGGTGATGACCCACAGCTGTGCAGACGATTAATATTCCACCTTTTCACTTGACAGTCGCCCTCTCTTTTGTGGTGTGATCCTCTGTCATTGAGTTCTTTGGTCACTGTTGATTTCAGGTTCTGAAGTTGCATCCAGTTTTGGCTCCAGTCAAAGTGGCTTTAGACATTGGCAGGGGAGCCACTGTGGAGCTGAGGCAGGTAAGAAGAACATAATATGAGTGGACATCAGTGAATATTGTTGTTTATATCTTGATCTTTGTGAATCCACTGTAAAAAGTGAGGCAAGTACTGGTTGAAAGGGTTCTTTTTTTATTGAACATTTTTGCTGTGTAGGCATTATTGAAAGTATAGTAATGAATATCTGATTATTCCATAGGTGTGTGAAGGGCTGCTGCAGGAGTTTATGGAGGTTAAGATCTCTGCGTGGCCTGGGTATCTCGAAACTCTGCCAATGTCAATGGAGCAGCTGAACGCAAAGTAAAGTGCAGTTCAGTGTCGTTACTGAAGCAAAGTTGTTCATTAGTACAAGCAGCAAATAAGCAGTGTGTCTCTTGCTGTGGACTGACGTGTGTCTCTGTGTCAATGCATTGTAGGTATGATGAGATGGGAGTGCTTTTCACTGTGGTGATCAGTGAGAACACGCTCGAGAGCGGCCTCCTTCAAGTCCGCAGCCGAGACACCACCATCAAAGAGACCAAGCACATCTCTGAGATCAAGAACTTTGTCTCCAGATACATTTCGGCAGCCGACGACATCTGAATGGACTTTTGTACCTGGAAGAGATGCAAAGCTTAGGCAGCACAACATTCAGACTGTCCTTTTAGTTGCTAAAATAAACTATCGCACATCAACAAGTTAGGGACTTCCCTGTGAGGACTAATGTTACTGAACAGAGCATTTAATGGAGAAGAATTTTCTTCTGAATAACTCCTGGCTCAATGTGACGCAATTAGGAATTGTGGATGTTTGATATGTTTCGGTATATTTGTCTCATGGGTAGCCATCCTGTACCTCGTCTTTAAAGGCTAAGAAGCTATTAGTGAAAAGGAGATGTGTGCATGTACCCCCCCAGATTTCTTGTTATTTGGGTATGACTAATGTATTCTCACTCATCCTGCAGCCTCCTTTCAGTACTTGTTAGACAAAAAGGTAGATGAGTGTGATGAGGTCTGTCACTGTCTGATTTCAACAGGGTGGCATTTACATTAGAGAAGGATTGGAATAAACACATGGTATGGTTATGTCTGTCTTACTTTCTATTAAAATATCCAAAACTTCTCTTTCATATTTGTTTTGTTTTGTTGTTCAATTCAATTTAATTTATAAAGCCCAGTATCACAAATCGTGATGAGTCAGTGTTTCTTTTGAGGCTCAACGAACATTGTTTTTTTTAAGATGCATTTATTTTGGCATTTTCACCTTTATTTGACAGATGACAGAGTAGATTACAGACAAATAGAGGAAGAGAGGAGTTTGACATGCAACTAAAGTCCCAAGGCTGGAATCAAACCCATGACCTTGTGGTAACGTGACATGCGCTGTAACTTCTTGGCTACCAAAGATCTTTCTTAATCATGTGAAAACACTTGAGAGTCTGGCTTCAAGGTCCATTTTACAGCTGTTCATGAGCTTTCAATAATATTACACAGTCTTCATCCTATTTTACATATACTTCTTATAACATGGAATGTGAATTGTGTGGAAGTCAGGTAAAACATGCATGTATAGTCACACTAAAACTGGACCGATAGTTCCTAATATATACAGTACAGGCCAAAAGTTTGGACACACCTTCTCATTCAATGTGTTTTCTTTATTTTCATGACTATTTACATTGTAGATTCTCACTGAAGGCATCAAAACTATGAATGAACACATGTGGAGTTATGTACTTAACAAAAAAAGGTGAAATAACTCAAAACATGTTTTATATTCTAGTTTTTTCAAAATAGCCACCCTTTGCTCTGATTACTGCTTTGCACACTCTTGGCATTCTCTCCATGAGCTTCAAGAGGTAGTCACCTGAAATGGTTTCCACTTCACAGGTGTGCCTTATCAGGGTTAATTAGTGGAATTTCTTGCTTTATCAATGGGGTTGGGACCATCAGTTGTGTTGTGCAGAAGTCAGGTTAATACACAGCCGACAGCCCTATTGGACAACTGTTAAAATTCATATTATGGCAAGAACCAATCAGCTAACTAAAGAAAAAC